CACAACCACTGTACAGTTAGCTAGAAGGGACCCCCACATCCAGGGTGCGCATGCATTGACGCCTGTTGCTCTGGCGGGTTTTGGGGCTGCTTTCCAGCTGTTGCTGTTGCTGTATAGAGTAGAAGCAACAAGACTAGCTCGCTGCATCTGTCCTGTTACTGCTGCATGCTGCAGCAGCGCCGCCACGGCCTCTACACGCTCAAGGGGGCCCCCACCAGCACCACCCCCCCGGGTGCTGATGAGGTCTAGGGGTGTACACCCTGCATCGTTTTTGAGTGATGCATCTGCCCCCAAGGAGAGAAGAAGCTTGATGGTGTTGTAGCAGCCTCTTCTGGATACAGGAGCAGCAGCATGCAGTCTGCTGCTGGTGAGAGAGGGCTCAGCAGCACGAAGAGCAGCACGGTGCAGCGCCGAGTTTCCCTCTGCATCTCTTCTGTCTACCCACACACCGTAGTTACACACCAACATAGCCATCAACATATCCTGGCCTATATCTGCTGCTATCATCAGTGGGGTGCTGCGGTCGCTGCTGCTGCCTATACCCTCGGGGCTGCAGCCCCCCTCCTCTATCAGCACCTGCACCACGTCCCCGTACCCCTTCTGTATTGCTAGCTTCAGGGGGGTGTCGTGTGCATGCTCTCCATACAGAGAAGTTATGTGTTGCTGCAGCTGTTCCTCTTGCCACTGTGCGTTGTTGCTGCTGCTGTTGCTGCTGCTGCTGCTGCTGCTGCNTGCTGCTGCTGCTGCTGCTGCTGCTGCTGCTAGCACCGCTGCTGCTGCTGTGGTTGCTGAGAGAGGCCATCTGCTGCTCCAGTGAAGCAAAAGTGCAGCTGCCGGGGGCTGCTGCTGCGTCCTGAGCCTCAAGCCAGCTGGGGAATTCTTTGAAAAAGGCCAACAGCCACTGCAAGTTTCTATCTCTTACAGACTGAAACAGCGCGTACACTGTGCCGTGGTGTATATCCATCTGACGAGCAGGGGGGGGCCCCGGTGAGGTACCCCCAGGCGAGGGGGCCCCAACACCTCGGCTGGGGGCCCCCATAGAGCTGCATGCAGACACCAGCTCAGTGGTCCTGTATCGCTGAGAAGAGAGAGAGGCCGTTTCTCTCTCTTTAGCTGCAGCAGATGCGGGTAGCTGCTGCAGCCCCTGCTGCTGCTGCTGCTGCTGCTGCTGCTGGTCGTGGTGTTGCTGCACCTGTTGTTGTGGTTGCTGTTGTTGTTGCTGTGCATGCATCTGCTGCAGCTGGTGTTTTTGGTGCTGTTTCTGGTGCATGCGTCGAGCAGCACGCGATGGGGCCCACTGATAGAACCTNGCTGGCTGAAACTCTATTTCTATGATATCTTCATTTGGGTTAAACCCAGGCACAGATACAGTAATATGTGTTTCTCTCCACCCTTCTCCTGCTGCCTTGGGGGCCCCCCGTATGTTCAGCTGGGCCCCCATTGCATGCACACGCATCAGGTCCCCCAAAGGAAGGTCCTGGGGGCATAGTAAGCGACCACTAGAGAACCACAGCCACCGACACAAACCCCATACAACACCCACCATCTGGGGGCCCCCAGCTGTAGATACACCTGAAGGCGCAGACGGGGGCCCCCCTCTAAACTGCACACGGAAAGGCAACGCCGGGTGTACAGACCCCACATCAAGAAGAGGAATCACCCCGCCCCTTCCCCCCTCTTGCATGTCGCTGCTCGCACTGTACCCCTGCTGCTGACGCACAGAGCGCATCCCGCGGGCGGTGGCGATGGGGGGCCCCACAACAGAAGAAGGGGCCCCCAGCTGCAACACAGGAGCCTCCAACCCCCCATGCTGCTGCTGCTGCTGCTGCTGCTGCTGCTGCAACTCCCCGAAGGCTGGAGTTACACTGGGCAGGGAGGGGTCCGCTGCGGGCCCCACCACAGTCCATGGGTCAGTGCTGGTTGCTGCTGCAGTTGCTGCAGTTGCTGCTGCTCTTGCTGCTTCCGCCTCCTCTGCGGGGCAATCGTTCAGGGCCTCTTCTGTGGGCTCCCGGCTCGGCTCCGGCCGCTGCACCCACCGCCATACAGCAGAGGGGTAGGCGGCGGGGGCCCCCAGAGGCAGCCGCAGGCTGAGGCCCCCCCGTATCTTGGGGGAGAGAGAAAATACCTGCCACAGGTGAGACGCCTTGGACCCTTCTGCTGCTGCAGCTGCAGCAGCAGCAGCAGCAGCTGCTGCTGCTGCTGCAGCAGAAGCGCCTCCGCAAGCAGAAGCAGCCTTGTGTCGACTCGTCGCA